ATAAGTGAGAGACATTTGAAAAGAATTCTCAGTACGAGGGGACTTTCTCGTCGTGAAAGTTACTGTGATATTGCGGACTTGGTTGAATTCATTAGCAACGAGCTACAGTACTCTGGCCAGCTTCACGGGTACCGCTGGATGTACGCCAAGTGTCGAGAACATGGATTATGAGTAAAGAAGGAAGATGTGAGGCTGGTGTTGAAGGAGCTAGATCCGAGAGGAGTGTCAATTGGGCCATTCCCATCTGTACTGGGTCGGCCCGGGCCGGGTAGCCCCAGTCGGCCCCAGCCTGGCCCGGTTGATTCCACACATCCTTGTCTTAAGCCCATGTGGGCTGATTCTACCCACCAATCAGAGGCTTGCTCTAATGGAAGGTGTGAATTTGCTGTCAGCAGTGGGTGTGTTGGCCCTGGTCGGCCTGAAGCAGACCCCCTCGAGAAGAGGGCTGAGAATGAGCCTTGGTTGGCCCGGAAAAATACCAGGCCACCCAGATATGTAAACAACCTATGCTACCCGGCCCGGGCCGACCGGGTACAGATGGGAATGGCCCAAATGAGGCAAGCAAGACGCCTAAGACGACGGAACTATTTTTCAAAAGGCCCGAACTTCATATGGCACATTGAACCGCGGTCAAGTGAGCTGTCATTTGTGAGCCGCGGTCAAGCCAGCCGCATCTTATCCGCCACGTAAATTTCCTTGCGCGTTTACACCAGTCTTTACGGTACCGCATTTTGCAATGGAACTGCCCAATACACCATTGTGACAGTCTGGTTGCATATTCAAAAATTCATTAAAAATCATCCAGAGTAGTTGATGTCCAACTTTCAACACATCCTTCCTCTGGGACACCTACTGTACCTGTGTGCCAGATTTCAGACAGATTTACTGTAGAAACCCTCAGATATTAAAGCAAACTTGTATTCAATGCAACACAGTCAATACAATTATGTCATTTTCAAAAATTCATTAAAAATCATCCAGAGTAGTTGATGTCCAACTTTCACCACATTATGACTCTGGGACACCTACTGCACCTGTGTGCCACATTTCAGACAGATTTACTGTAGAAATCCTCAGATATTAAAGCAAACTTGTATTGCCCTATGACAGCAACCTCCCGCGACCATGAAGAGGACAAGCGCAAGTGAATAGATGGATGTTTTAATCTAGTTGGTACATTATGACAAAAATTATAAACTGTACTTAATTACTTAAGAATTGATTATCACAGTGGCAAAAATTCAGAAGTAGTTAAAAATGGGACTTTGTCTTCTCTTATCTGTATAAAGTGTTTGCATTCTATTTTTATCCTATTGTATATTTTATTCTATTTATTTCACTATGTATAGTATTTTATTTTATTCTATTTTGTACATTTGTGTACAGCATTTTATTATTATTGTATTTCTATTTTGCTATATAACCTTTGGTCTGTCCACTTCCTGCTGTGACAAATAAATTTCCACACATGTGGGACTAATAAAGCTTATCTTATCTCTTTTATTGTCATTGTTTTTTGTTTGTTTTTTTACTGTTGGTTTATTTTACACTGTAATAAGAAAATGCGCAGCAGTGCTGAGTATCAAATTTTTTTACTTTTACTCATCTTTTTCAATACTCAGGTTATTAGGAGACATTTTTTTTATTTATTTGCACAATGATGGGGACCAGTTGCCAATGTTTTTGAAAAGGGCTACACACACTCACAGAAATATTTAACCCTAAAACTTAAGATTTATGTAATTTTTTTACATGACAAATTCCCATTTACTTTTTTTATGTAATTTTTAGACAAACCTACCAAATAAACTTTACATGATGCATATTCATTAGTGTAATAAAGCCTATTTAATTGAAATGCATAATGCTCAAGTTTATGTATTTAGTATAAATAAAGTATAATTACTCTAAATTAATAAGGAGGGTATTTATTTCAAATACATAAATAATATTGTTTGAATTGCATAAAAATTAGGTTACCTATGATGGATAAATAGCATACATTTATTTGAATTACATGTCATTTATACTTGTGTAATCAGTCAAAACATTCAAAATGCATCATATTTATTTAATTATTTTCCATTTAGTACAAACAATAATGATGTTTAAGAATGTTCAGATCACCTTGTTGATTAAACAACTTTATTAGCATTAAAGCCTCTCAACATCCTTGACATGAAACTCAAAGGACAGAACGTATCTTTGAGGATATCCTTTGAATTTTTTTAAATGATTAATGCATGTACAAATACTTCCACCTTTCTAATCCATCTCACTCCTCTCCATTCCCCCTCCTACTTTTTCTCCATCCAGAGTACTACATGAGTGACTAAACTGTAGAAATAATCTAGTGAATTAAACATGAGGAAAAAACAAAGTTAAAAAAAATCTGGAAAATGTCAGATAATTCATCTCATGACATTGTAATGACATAATTGTATTGACTGTATTGCATTGAATACAAGTTTGCTTTAATATTTGAGGATTTCTACAGTAAATCTGTCTGAAATCTGGCACACAGGTACAGTAGGTGTCCCAGAGTAATAATGTGTTGAAAGTTGGACATCAACTACTCTGGATGATTTTTAATGAATCTTTGAAAAATGCAGTACCGTAAAGACTGGTGTAAAAGCGTAAGGAAATTTACATGGCGGATAAGATGCGGCTGGCATGACCGCGGCTCACAAATGACGGCTCATTTGACCGCGGTCACCTTAAGCCACCTGTACGTGTAGGCGTTATTAATTTCTCTATTGTTATACTATAAACATACACTGGCTAATCTGATAATGTGATACTCTGTCATTAAATTGGTAACGACGATACAGTTCTTATCAGTTTGCTGAGAATAGTCCGTGTGCGCAATAGCGTCCACAGTTACCATGGCAACCACTTTTGTTCGTTGTTCAAATTTACTCGTATCATTGCCATCACTGGTATTAGGCTATCAAGTGTGCCTTTCAAAAACAAAAATGAAACAATTAAGATTTCAGCAAACCATACTAGTATTAGCTTACAATAGCATAGCATTACTGCTAACTTTGTTACCCAGGAGTGTTCTTACATTTACACTGAATGAACTACATGCTTACTCACCTTGTCTCTCTTCATCCGTGTAATATCATCCTTTGGGACCTCTCTACAAATTAAGAACCGCTCCAAATCATCCTCCATGCTTGCAACTGAGCGGCCCCACAGTCGATGATGCTGCGTGACTGTTTTTCTTCAGGTTCACTGTCACAGGGAACCTTTGCGAGATCTCGCAATCCTTTTTTTCCCTTCCCATGTCCCTTTAGGGGCTCAGTAGGTATCCAACTTACCATTTTTAAGCAAAATTTTAGAGAAGCTTGTTTTAATACAACTTAATGATTTTATCAACTGCCAACATGTCCTAGAGAAATTTCAGTCTGGTTTTAGGGTGAACCACAGCACTGAGACGGCCCGTCTGAAGATTTTAAATGATTTTAGAACACATTATGATGCTCGGAGGGCAACAGTGTTGGTTCTGCTGGATCTAAGCGCTGCCTTTGATACAGTAGACCACACTATTCTTTTAACCCGTTTAAAACAGATCGGCCTCGCTGGTGCTGTTCACAGTTGGTTCACTTCCTACCTCACAGACAGGACTTTTATGGCGAGTTTGGATACCTGTTCCTCTAGGGTCCACAGCATTACATGCGGTGTGCCTCAGGGTTCAATTCTAGGCCCAGTGCTTTTTATCCTCTATATGCTCCCTCTGGGCAGCGTCATCAGGAGACACGGGGTGAATTTCCACAGTTACGCTGACGATACACAGTTGTACATCTCCATGTCTCCTGATGACTCACAGCCAATGGATACACTTTTTAACTGCATTTTAGATATTAAATAATGGATGGCAGAGAACTTTCTCCAGCTCAACCAAGGCAAAACTGAAGTTTTAGTCATCGGTCCTGAGACCCAGAGAGAGAAACTTTTACCTAAACTACAATCAATGTATTTTTATTCATCACTACAAGTGAAGAATCTGGGTGTTATTTTCAACTCTGAGCTGACTTTTATCCCCCACATTAAAAACATCACAAAAATAGGTTTTTACCATCTTAAGAATATCGCCAGAGTCCGCCCCATTCTCTCTCGGGCCAATACGGAGACGCTAATGCATGCTTTTATAACCAGTAGAATTGATTACTGCAATGCCCTGCTTTCTGGTCTTCCCAAAAAGAGCATCTCAGGTTTACAACTTTTACAAACCTCAGCAGCACATGTCCTGATGAAGACCAGGAAGCGGGAGCACATCACTCCGGTTTTAAAATCACTGCACTGGCTCTCCGTACATTTCAGGATCGATTTTAAGGTTCTTTTAATGGTTTTCAAGTGTCTTAATGGTCTCGGGCCTTATCTTTCAGAACTGCTTTTACTATATAAACCCTCGTGGTCTCTGCGTTCCTCTGGCAGCCGTCTTCTAGTTATCCCTAAAGTTAAGACACACACCCACAGCGAGGCGTCCTTCAAGTACTACGGCCCTCGCCTTTGGAACGGGCTGCCGGAGGACCTCAGGGCCGAAGGGAACGTCCAGGATTTTAAGAATAGGCTCAAGACCCACCTTTTTAGCTTAGCTTTTAACTGATTACTATTTATCTAGTCAGTTTAAATGTATCACCTGTCATATTTGTTTATTTATATATATATATATATATATATATATATACATATACATATATATATATATATATATATATACATATACATATATATATATATATATATATATATATATATATATATATACATATATACATATATATATATATATATATATATATATATATACATATATACATATATATACATATATATATATATATATATATACATATATATACATATATATACATATACATACATATATATATATATATATATATATATATATATATATATATATATATATATATATATATATATATATACAGGGGCGGATTTAGGACTGAAGAAGATCCGGGGCTTAACGCACGCGCACACACACACACATGACGCGCACTAGTCAACATCATATATATCTTGTACCACATGATTTTTAATCTGAAGCTACACATTAAGCATTTTCAGGGCAGAGTATTGTTCCTGTTAGTGTTTAGTGTGAGATGATAGTAAATATTCCCTTTCTTTCTCCATCAACTTTACCTGATAAGCTAACTTTAGGCAAACCAGCAGCTCAACAAATATTTTCAAATAAGACTCACAAACCTGAGTCAGCACCAGTCTCATCAAAGCTGGGGTTCTGTCGTTGTACTTTTGGTCTAAAAAACATCCTTATGTCCATCTTCACTCATGCGTTTCAGGCAGAGAGTGTAGAAGAAGCTGGCTGCTGAAGGGCTTCTTCTTCAGTGGTGGAGGCTCAGGCAGGCTGTATACAAACTACTGCCAGCTGCTCCCTCTCTGTTGGACTTTGGTACTGCATGTTACTTCCGCGATTTAGATCCGGGGCTTTTGATGAAACATCCGGGGCTTCAGCCCAAGTAGCGGGCCTAACGCCGCCCCTGTGTATATATACCTATTTATCTCTTTTACTTAATTTTATTATTTTATCTACATCTTAGTGTTTTTACATGATTATGTTTTCTTTTACTATCTTTATAATCACTTTTTTATCAGTTACTTTCTATCCGTAGTAGCTTTTGTTATTTTACATGTTATATATTTTGATCCTCCAGTGTTTCCTCTGCATTGCCCTCTGCCTTTGGGTCGGCGGCGGCGGCGGCCGGGATGCTCCTCGGGTAGTGCCCGGGCAGTAGGTGGGGGTCTCCACCCTCTCTCCCTGGGCGGGTGTCTTGGCTGCTGCCGTGGATCTGTTGCTATCGAGGCAGATGGCTCCGCTGATGATGTGTCGTCCATTACCTGACCCGTCTGAACTCAGCCTATTGTTTACTCTGTTGTTACGTGTGTGTGTGTGTGTGTGTGTGTGTGTGTGTGTGTGTGTGTGTGTGTGTGTGTGTGTGTGTGTGTGTGTGTGTGTGTGTGTGTGTGTGAAAAGTGCTATATAAATAAAGTTGATTTGATTTGATCTAACTGAGGTTTCCTCCTCTTTTAAACTCTGAGGCGATAGTGAGTCTTGGTGGTCTGCTTTGTTTTGCCACAGGTGACAGCAGGAATGTTTCCAACTCCTGTACAAGAAGGATGCAGCAGAACACAATACGGTCCTGCCAGCTGTGTTTACATTCACAAGATGTGACACTGAATGTAGTTCAAGAGGGTCAGCTGCCAGTGCAGCGATTTTCTTTGTTTTCTTTTTCTTTATCCTGTTTCAATCTAGTGAAGATTAACAAAGGAACTGTGCTGCCATAGCTCTGGAACAAAACTGCAGGATATGCCATGAGTAAGAAGTGGGAAAACAAGAGGAAACACCTGTGGAAGTGGATCACACGAGCACTGACTCCTTCCATGGAGTCATCATAGCATTATGCCAAGTGATTTATGGTAGGAACTGTTTTCATCTGATGTATCAAACATCATAGTCCATACAGAGTCATAATAGAGCTGGATGATTCAGGTTATGTGTCTTGGTCATCATAACTTGTTTAAAGCAAAATATGTTTTGAGCTAGTTTAAGTGTGGTTGTAATGTATTTACTGTAGCAGAATGTGCAGGAGAGCTTTATCAGGTCAACACCATGAGGAACACCCATTAGCGTTAAGGTTCTCTGTCTGGTTATTGTGATGTAATGACCCCAGCACTTCTACATGAACGGGCAGAAGAAGAATTACAGGTTCTTCATTTTGAGTTACTCCTCTCAAGTTTCCTAACCCTAACCCAAGGATCAACGTCATTCTTGAGTTTTGTCAGACCTTTACTGTGGACAAAATGTCCTCATATGCCTTAGGTTGTCTCCAAAATCCCATCACAACTAAGAAATGTATGGTCTGTATTTGATATAGCCTCTTCTAGGGTTCCACAACCCCCCAGGGTGCTTTACAACACAATTAAGTCACAATTAAGTCACAAGTCTTTCCAGTCAAGTCTCGAGTTAAGTCCAAGTCAAAGACATTCAAGACCAAGTCAAGTCCGAGTCCTCAACTTTGAATTTTCAAGTCATTATCAAGTCATCTGTCCAACTTCAATTTAATGACAATGATAATAAATAAATTCCAGAAATAAAGCTTCATTTATTTGCTTAAACAAGCAGGAAGTGCAACTGAAACTGATAATAAAAAGTGCTGCTGCATTTTAACCTGGCCTGCCAGACTCCTCCTCTGTTGGGAGAGAAAGGGTCTGGGAACTCTCCTATTCAAATAACCCCAGCCCCTGAGAATTCTAACCGAGCCAGTCAGCGCTGAGTAGCTACGTCACACACCATAACGCCGAGTTTGTCATAAACATGGCGGCTGAAGCGGAGTTCTTTCCTCTGGTCTAAATGACTTGAATGTCTTTAAAACCACAACAAGCATTTCTTCTAAAAAAAAAAAAGATGTTTGTGCCGTTGCCAAATGCCTTTTTTGACTACAGCTAAAAAACTACAGAGTCGTGCGGTACAGTCGGCATTTCCGTCTTTTTTCTGATTGGTTATTTTTGAGCTGGCTAGCCCCGCCCCTCAAGTGCCTCTCTGCCTGTGAGTAACCAGACTCTTTCTCAGTGCAGAATTAAACAGAGGACGAGTCTGGCAGGCCAGGCTAGTTGCATTTAGCAGTTCAACATCAAACCCAGAACGAAAAATGATTTATGATTTTTGTTCATGTCGTGCCACTTTTGTGCTAAAATATCAAATATGCTTAAGTCATTATCAAGTCAACAGATGCAAGTCGATTCAAGTCGCAAGTCATTGGCTTTCAAGTCCGAGTCAAGTTGTAAGTCTTTATAAATTTTATCAAGTCAAGTCAGAAGTCATTAAAATAATGACTCAAGTCTGACTTGAATCCATGTGACTCAAGTCCACACCTCTGAATCTAGGATTAGAAAAGCCTGACAGATCTATGTTACGCTGTCAGTCGTGGACTCGCCCATCTTGACTCACAATGGGGAAGGCTGTTATTGCTTAAGCATCCAGGAAAAAGCAGGGAACATCTCAGCTAGTAGAAGCTAACCATTAGCATTAGCAACTCCACCACAAGGCAGAACTCTTCCAGGCTTGTGTTATGTTGAGATAAAACAAAATTGCTAAGCAGAGTCAGAGTCACTTACAGAATATAAAAAATAAAAATAAAACCACTTCTCTAACAGGAAGACACCTTTTATATCTTTCAGAAATGCCAGGTACTACTACACCCCTTGTGGTGCCAATAAACTACACCCTATGAGCAACGAGGGGACGTGCAAAAAAAAAAAGTTCCTACTTACATCTTAATGGGGTTTCAACCAAAAAAATTAACTATCTACATGAATGTACTGAAAACTTAATATTTTTTGTGAATGTTTAGTCAATACTGATAGTCTATATAATGATTTCCTCTTATTAACTGAATATTTAAATGATAGATATAAAATGGAGTTGTTTTTGACAGCAGCCACACTTGTCATGTTGTGGGCAAGGTGCTTAACCCAGGACATGAAGGACCACACGTGAAAACCAGGTAAGTAAAAAGAGTAAAATATTTTATTAAATGAAGCTAAGGAAAAATTAAGGGTGCTGCTCCAGAAAAGCAGGAACAGGAACGGACCGGAAATCTAAAACAAAAGAACAAACAATCGTGAATACGAGGCGGAACCAGAGAACCAAGAGAAGAATAAATTTGGTGTTTGAATTGTTCTTACGGTCTTAAACCAGTTCTTAGCGGTGGTGGACTGGGTGAAGTTCAGTGAAGGAGAGGCGGCAGGTCCGATGGTTGTAGAAGAGGTGGACAGGAGAAGGTTGTGTGAGTCCAGGGTGTAGGCAGGCCCAGCCCCAGGGAATGGTGTCTCATTTTCTCCTCGGGAGTTAACTGCGCTCGTTTGATTTGCATGGGTTCGTCTGACCCCGAGGGAAGGAGGTGCTGTTGAGATGTTTGATGGGGACGTTGCTGTGAAGCAGTGGTTGATGGTGGCCTGAACGCCGAAGTCTTGTGTCTTTCCTTCAGGCGTTTTTCGACGTTAGAGGCGAGGTTGATAAGGGACTCGAGGTTCTCGGGTTCCTGGCAAAACGCGAGCTGATCTTTTATCTTATCGGTCAAAGCCTGAGAGAAAGCGGCTTTCAGAGAAGCCTCGTCTAAAGTTGATATGAAAGCCAAAGTGCGGAATTCTATGGCGAAATCGAGGACTGACTGTTTACCCTGCTGGAGATTCCAAATCTGCTTTGCGATTTCTGCGGGAAACTCCGTCTGGTCAAAAAGTTGTTTGAACTCAGCTAGAAAAGCCGAGAGCGGACCTCGCAGGAAGCTAGCCTGCCGGCTCTTAGCCTCGGCCCATTGCAGAGCCCTACCCCAGAGTAAACGTACGAGATTTTAACCGAATCATTTATGAAGGTGTCTGGTGACCTTTCAAAGGCTAACTGGCAGAGTAGTAGGAAACAGCGGCATTTACCTGGCTCGCCAGAGAAGGTATCAGGCTGTGGTGACTCAGCGACCCGGAAACCCCATGCTGCTGAACCGGAAGTGGCGGTGGAGATGAAGCTGCGGAAGTAGCGGGAGGAGGTGGCGTAGAAGTGAGTCTTTCATTCATTTGGCGTAAGGCGGTGTCGAGCTGGAAAAGATGTTGATTAGTGGTGGATAATTGCTTGAGTACTGACCGGACGGAACTTTCATGCTGGGACAAGGTATTGGCTATGGCGACAGGAAGTGGTTCTTCAGAGGATGTATTCGTTTGGCCGGTTGATTCTGCCGTGTTGTGGGCAAGGTGCTTAACCCAGGACATGAAGGACCACACGTGAAAACCAGGTAAGTAAAATGAGTAAAATATTTTATTAAATGAAGCTAAGGAAAAATTAAGGGCGCTGCTCCAGAAAAGCAGGAACAGGAACGGACTGGAAATCTAAAACGAAAGAATAAACAATCGTGAATATGAGGCAGAACCAGAGAACCAAGAGAATAATAAGTTTGGTGTTTGAATACTTCTTACGGTCTTAAACCAGTTCTTAGCGGTGGTGGACTGGGTGAAGTTCAGTGGAGGAGAGGCGGCAGGTCCGATGGTTGTAGAGGAGGTGGACAGGAGAAGGTTGTGAGAGTCCAGGGTGTAGGTTGGCAGGCAGGCAGGCAGAGCGATGGAGAGTGGAGGCCACAGGATCTTGAGCGACAGGACAAGGTAAACAACTCCAGGCGTGGTTAGAGGATGCGAGGTGCGATACTAGAAACAAGAGCATAAGGGATCTCAAAGAACAAGTTCGTTGGAAGATCAGGTAATGTACTGGGCTAGAAGCTACCCTGGTGGGCGTATCAACCGGCGCTGGAGTTGTGTCACACCGCTCCTTAAATCCCCTGGCCCTCTGATTAGTGGAATCAGGATCAGCTGGAGCTCGTGCCACGCCCACCTGCAACACAAACAGCTGACTGCCAGGTTACCTCACCTGCTGATAGAGGCAGAACGTGACAACACTAACCCAGCTGGAAGCATAAGTGGCGCGTACCGTAATGTTTTACCCGGAAGCTCTCTTTCCACTGGAGAGCATTTCAGATGATAAACGGCAGTGAAAGCGCTCCACACAGCTGGCCCCACAAGGTCACAAAATCACTGGAGAACTGAAAACCACACATCGTTTTTAGACAGTTCACATGATCAAGCAAGGAGAATGATGGCTGCAGGTATCCAAAAAGGGCAGGGGTTTATTTTCGGTTCTGTTTACCTCGGCTACAGAGGTTTCACAGGAAATTACTTGTTTTACTAGTTTGAAGGCACACTCTGCAATATTTTCATATTTTAAATAATTTTCTTGAGCCAGTATGTGCTAAAATGACCCTTTACAGAATTGATGAAATATCACTCAGACCCCACCGCCCTCTGTGGCCAGAATATTACACTTTCAACTTCACTGGTGCTGGTCCGGTCCAGTTTCTGCTGGTGGAGGGAGCTGTATAGAGGAGTGCAGCTGACATGGTAGAGCTGGAGTCTGCTTCTAACATGTTTCCTGCATGTTTTAGACTGTGAACATAGCTGATTTGTTTGATTTAGTGATGACTTGCTGAAGGCTGACGAGACATTTCAGCAGTTAGATTAAGGTATTAAAAAGATGAACGCATAGTGAGGAGATAAGTTTCATTTTGTTTAACCACTGTGAATTAATAATTGACACTAGGGGGTGCTAAAAGCAACAAAAACTGCACTTGTCTTATTTTGAAAGTTTTTGGATGTTTTACACTGCTTTAGAGTTTGACTTCCTGTCTTGCCTGATCAGAACGATTGAGATTGGAGCAATCTGGAAGTGTAGCGTAAGCAACACATCCCTACGCCTCTGGGACGCTTCCAAAAAGTGATGCCCTGTGGCCAGTGGAAACGCACCCATCCACTATAACTGCAGCAAATTGCTGCATACAATGTTTTGTACTGTGTTGTATTGTATTGTATTTTTCGGAACTGCGCTGCTCTGAGTGGCTGCATGTTGGAGTAGCTTTGTTGACTATATGTAAGTTTTGCCTTTTCTTGGACATTTTTTCTTTAGTTTCTCAAGAAAAACGGTATTCTTTTGGACATTTTACTTTTCTGTTTCTGGTGCTGTGAAGCTTGGAGGATTTTTACTGCTCATTTTTCACTTTTTGAGCATTTGTTATGATGTGTAACCATGGCAACAAGCTGGTTTACAATCGGGAGCAACTGCTTAACATTGGGAAGGCTGAAATAATACCTCAACTGAAGCCACAAATCCCAAATGAGCTAAAAACGCAAGAAGCGTGGGTGCAGAGCGGGAGCAAAACGGAGACAGAGAAAGAGGAAATTCAAACCATCTCTTCCATCGATCATAATGGGCAATGTGAGATCACTGGCCAACAAGATGGATGAACTCCAAGCCCTTTCAAGGACTCAGCCAGAGTATCAGCAGTGCAGTGTTATGTGTTTCAGTGAGACGTGGCTGCAGGACCATATCCCCGATTCCAGCATCTCTCTGCCAGGATTCCTGACTGTACGAGCAGACAGAGATCTGAAGAGGAGCGGGAAAAGAAAAGGAGGTGAAGTGGCAGTGCTTGTCAACAACAGATGGTGCCATCCAGGTCATGTTTCAGTGAAATGTCGTCTCTGCAGCCCAGATGTTGAACTCTTGGTAGTAAGTTGTCGCCCATATTACTTGCCAAGAGAGTTCACCAGTGTTGTCTTGGCAACCGCTTATATTCCACCTTCAGCCATTGCTGAAAATGCATGTGATGCCATAAGTTCCGTTGTCGCTAAGCTACAAACCCAACACACCCCAATGCATTTGTGGCTATATCTGGTGATTTTAATCATGCCTCACTCTCTGCTACACTTCCAACATTTCAACAGTTTGTCAGCTGCTCCACCAGAGAAAACAAGACATTGGATCTGTGTTATGCAAATGTAAAGAATGCATACATGTCCAAAACAAGACCTCCTCTGGGACAATCAGATCACAGTCTTGTTTTTCTCTGCTCGGAATACAAACCACTTGTTCAGAGGCAACCTGTGACAAGAAGAACTGTTAGAAAATGGTCACAGGATGCTGAAGAAGCCCTGCAGAGTTGTTTTGAGACCACAGATTGGATGACTCTCTGCCACGGACATGAAGAGGACATCAATGCCATGACTGGATGTGTCACTGATTATATAAACTTCTGTGTGAATAATATAATACCCACCAGAACAGTGAGATGCTTCGCTAATAACAAACCCTGGATCACCAGTGAACTGAAGAATCTGCTAAATGAGAAAAAAAAGAGCCTTCAAGGAGGGAGACAGGGAATTACTGAGGAGCATACAGAAGCAACTGAAGATCAAGATCAGAGACAGCAAGGAGGCACACAGGAAGAAGCTGAAGAACAACCTACAGAGGAACAATATCAGAGATGTCTGGTCAGGGATGAAGAAGATCACAGGCTTCAAGCAGAGGAAGGATTGCACAGATGGCAGCCTGGACGCAGCCAATGAACTGAACAAGTTCTTCAATAGGTTCAGTTCAGGAACAAACCCAGCATCCTCCTCGCCTGTCCCCAGCCAATCAGACATCCCATCCTCCTCTGATCCAACATTTTCCTGTCACACATCAGCTCTTTTGTCCTCTAAAGCAGTCATGGACTCATCTGGTTCTATAAATCCGTCTTCAACCAAGTCAGGAGATGCTGCTGCCCCATTTACCTCCCCCTCACACCTATCTGTCTCTAGAAGTCGGGTGAAGAGGCAGCTGGAGAGACTGAACAGGAACAAGGCTGCAGGTCCGGATGGTGTCAGCCCCAGAGTACTGAAGGCCTGTGCGGAGCAGCTCTGTGGGATTCTGCAGCACCTCTTCAACCTCAGCCTGGCCCAGGAGAAGGTTCCAGTCCTGTGGAAGACATCCTCCCTTTTTTCCAGTTCCAAAGAAAACTCGCCCATCAGTCAATGACGACTACAGACCGGTTGCTCTGACATCCCACATCATGAAGGTCCTGGCGAGACTCCTGTTGGTCCACCTGAATAAGCAAACTAGAACATATCAGGACCCGCTACAGTTTTCTTATTGCCATGGAGTTGGAGTTGAAGATGCCATCATCCAGCTGCTTCAACCAATCCACTGTCATCTGGACAAAGCAGGCAGCACTGTGAGGGTCATGTTCTTTGATTTCTCCAGTGCATTTAACACAATCCAGCCTGATGTACTTTGCCAGAAACTCCAGAAGACACAGGTGGGGGCCTCAACTATCGCCTGGATTAAAGACTACCTGACAAACAGACTACAGTTTGTGAGGCTGAAGAACTGCACATCAAACCAGGCGATCAGTAACATTGGAGCACCACAGGGGACTGTACTCTCACCATTCCTTTTCACCCTGTACACCTCAGACTTCCAGTACAAATCAAAGACCTGTCATCTACAGAAATACTCAGATGACTCTGCAGTTGTCGGGTGTATCAGAGATGGACAGGAAACTGAGTACAGAGAGCTGGTGGAGCGCTTTGTGGCATGGTGTGGAAACAATCATCTGACCTTGAACTTGAACAAAATAAAGGAAATGATTTTAGACTTCAGAAGAAACAGGGTGGAGTCAAACACTGTTTCCATCATGGGAGAAGAAGTGGAGGTGGTTGGGGAATACAAATACCTTGGAGTTCACCTGGACAACAGACTGGACTGGAGAAAGAACAGCAAAGCCGTTTACAAGAAGGGACACAGCAGACTGCACTTCTTGAGGACGCTTAGGTCCTTCAATGTCTGTAGCAAGATGCTGCAGATCTTCTACAAGTCTGTTGTTGAGAGTGTAATCTCTTCAGCCATCGTCTGTTGGGGTAGCAGCATCAGAAGCAGGGACCTGAAAAGGCTCAACAGCCTAATAAAAAAGGCTGGTTCTGTTCTGGGGACGATTGTGGAACCACTGGAGGAGATCATGCAAAGAAGGATTCTCCAGAGAATCAAGAAAATGATGGACAACCCTGAGCATTCTCTTCACAAGACTGTCCGACAACGGAAGAGTGTCTTCAGTCAGAGGCTTCTTCAGTTTCGCTGCAACACTGACTGCTACTGGAGATCCTTCCTGCAAACAGCCATTGTAATATACAACAACTCTTTGACGACTTGATTATTATTATTATCCTGAGCTACTACAGCAATCAATTTCCCTCTGGGATTAATAAAGTATTTTTGAATTGAATTGAAATGCACTGTATTGTATTGTATTGTATTGTACTGTACTGTACTGTACTGTATGGTATTGTATTGTATTGTATTGTATTGTATTGTATTGTACTGTGTTGTATTGTATTGTATTGTATTGCACTGTATTGTATTGTATTGTACTGTACTGTACTGTATTGTATTGTATTGTACTGTACTGTATTGTATTGTATTGTATTGTACTGTACTGTACTGTACTGTATTGTATTGTATTGTATTGTATTGTACTGTACTGTACTGTACTGTATTGTATTGTATTGTACTGTACTGTACTGTACTGTACTGTATTGTATTGTATTGTACTGTACTGTACTGCATTGTATTGTATTGTATTGTATTGTATTGTATTGTATTGTATTGTATTGTACTGTACTGTACTGTGTTGTATTGTATTGTATTGTATTGCACTGTATTGTATTGTATTGTACTGTACTGTATTGTATTGTATTGTATTGTATTGTACTGTACTGTACTGTATTGTATTGTATTGTATTGTATTGTACTGTACTGTACTGTATTGTATTGTATTGTACTGTACTGTACTGTACTGTACTGTATTGTATTGTATTGTATTGTATTGTATTGTATTGTATTGCATTGTACTGTACTGTACTGTATTGTATTGTATTGTATTGTACTGTATTGAATTGTACTGTACTGTAATGTACTGTACTGTACTGTATTGTATTATATTGTATTGTATTGTATTGTATTGTATTGTATTGTATTGTACTGTACTGTATTGCATTGCACTGTATTGTATTGTATTGTATTGTACTGTACTGTACTGTATTGTATTGTATTGTATTGTACTGTACTGTATTGTATTGTATTGTATTGTACTGTACTGTACTATACTGTATTGTATTGTATTGTATTGTTCTGTACTGTACTGTATTGTATTGTATTGTACTGTACTGCACTGTACTGTACTGTATTGTATTGTATTGTATTGTATTGTACTATACTGTACTGTACTGTATTGTATTGTATGTATTGTATTGTATTGTACTGTGTTGTATTGTATTGTATTGTATTGTACTGTATTGTATTGTATTGTATTGTATTGTATTGTACTGTGTTGTACTGTATTGCATTGTATTGTATTGTATTGTACTGTATTGTATTATATTGTATTGTACTGTGTTGTACTGTTCTGTATTGTATTGTTTTGTATTGTATTGTATTGTATTGTATTGTATTGTATTGTACTGTATTGTATTGCATTGTACTGTATTGTATTGTATTCTATTGTATTGTATTTATTGTATTGTACTGTACTGTATTGTATTGTATTGTATTGTATTGTACTGTGTTGTATTGTATTGTATTGCACTGTATTGTATTGTATTGTACTGTACTGTACTGTATTGTATTGTATTGTACTGTACTGTACTGTATTGTATTGTATTGTACTGTACTGTACTGTACTGTATT